CCCGCCGCCCGTCCCTGCCGCCCGCCGCGCCGCCCGGGGGGCACGCCGCCGCCGCCGGAGAGTTGAGTTAGGAAGTCATGGTGCCCTGGGAGCCCTCCCCGCCCCGGCAGTGCGGCGGCGGCGGCGGCTGGACGCTCTGCGACTGCTGCTGCTGGCTGCTGCTGCCCGCCGTGCTGCTCGTCCTCGCCCGCCCCGACAAGCTGGCGGCCTTCCCTACCTCCTTAAGCGACTGCCAGACGCCCACCGGCTGGAACTGCTCCGGTAAGCACCGGAGCGCCCCGCGCCCGGCTCCGCCGCGCGTCCCGGCAACCCCGCCGAGCTCCGCCGGGCGCTCGGAGTTGCGCTGGCGAGCCCGGGGGAACCAACTTCAGGAGGGTGATGCCGCATCCCGTGAATGCACGGGAACAGCGAAGGCTAAAAGTCCTTTAGGGCGTCGGGGCTCGCCGCCGTTCCCGCTGCGACCGCAGCCCCCGGGGCCCCGTTTGCCCCGCACTCCGCGGCGCCGGGCGCGGCAGCCGCGCCCTCCGCCGGTACGGGCGGCTCCCCGGGAGGAGAGAGAGAGAGACAGCCCCAGCTCCGGCTGGAACGGGGCAGAGAGACAGCCTGGAACGGGGCAGAGAGAGAGCCCCAGCCCCGGCTGGAACGGGGCACTCGGCGTGCGGGAGCGGGGACACGGCGCCGCGGGTGCGCATCCTGCGGGCGGCTGTTTGCCTGCGCACCGAGCGGACAGCGGAGCGGGGCATCGGCACCGCGACACCCGCTGCCTGTTCTTTAAAGTCGGGCTGACCTTTGGAACGGGGTTTCCTATGTAGATCAGCKCCCGGTCGTTCTCCGATACGTAAGATAATTCGGAAATTCGACCCTAATAGCCTTCTAAGGGGAMGAGCGTTTTTTGGGGTACTGCGTGCATCTCACATGACGCGTTAGATCGGGGRGAATTTGCGCTGTGAGCTATTTGTTTTAAACATGTAGCGATATGGTTAAGAGCACTCAGATGTTTTTTAAAAAAAATCAATGGATTCAGATCTTAATGGGTTTGGAGTCTGATATAGCTGTTTTGTTTAATATCTTGATGCACGCTGTTGGAGTGGGAAGTCAGCTAGCGAAATCTGAAATTGATGCTTGTATTCGTGAACTGAATCTTCAGTCAGATCTGTTGGTTTTTCCTGGAGAATGTGAAGGCAAAGAGCTCGGTTCACTCAGCGGCTCATGGGGAACCTGGCACTTCTCCTGTTAACTTAGAGGTCATCAATCTTCATTGGGATCAGGCAGACCATCACAGAAAACACACAGCCTGTTTGTCTTTATTATTGGGGACTGTGTTGTGTCGTGGGCTGGAGAAATTCCAATTTGGACTTTTGTCCAACAGATTTGTGATCGGATGGGGATAAGTTGATGACATTTCCAACCCAGAGCCATGAAATGGCATAATTACCGGGTGACTTTTGAGGAAACCGAGTCCGTGAAATGGAAAAAAAAGTGCGTGAGGGAGTGGGGAATAGGAACCAAGACAAACACGGAGGGATAAACAAGAGAAAAAGTGAAAAGCTGAGGACAGGGRAGGACAAAAGAAAATCTGGACTCTATCATTTCATAAACAAGGTTATTATGCTGTGTGCATTAAAATGCAATCATCCCGTATTGTTCCTCTTGCTAGACCAAAGCTGACTTTTTTTTTCCCTCTCTTTACATTTGAGGTTACGATGACAGAGAAAATGATCTCTTTCTCTGCGACACCAATACCTGTAAATTTGATGGGGAGTGTTTAAGGATTGGAGACAGTGTGACTTGTGTCTGTCAGTTCAAGGTAAGAAGATTGATATTTCGTTCTCTAATTCACTAATGAGAATACAAATCAAGGATCTCCCTTTATAACCTATCACTTGGCAGTTTATTTCTCTATGTGCAGAGAAGTTAAAGGGAAAACCTGGCAGTGTGTATAAAAGCTGGCAGGAGAACCAACTGGTGTCAAGAAGACATAAGTTTCTCTGGGAAAATGCAGATGCTGTGGCTTTAAATGTCCCTTCGGGTCTGCAGTTCCAGGTTGTGCATTTCTGATTTTTCATCCCTGCCCTTTTAACAAGGATTTAGAGTCCTTTCTAAATTCATTTCTGATACAGATCATGGCTTATTGTATTCGGAGTTCTGATCTAGTTAAAGAAATGGATCTGTAATGTGCTTATGCGATATTTTCAGGAAGGGCTGCATAGTGACAATGCTTCTGCCTGTTTATCTGCCCAGCTGATCAGATTAAGGAGCAATCCCTCTGTTCCAAAATGATGAACTTCCTTTAGGTTTTATATAGTTTTAGGAGAGCTATTACTGAACAGTAGGGGGTTTTCCTTCTATTTCTTCTCTCTTCCTCTCACAGCTACATGTGAACCTGAGCCATTCTCAAAGTCAGACGATTTCATTACGGAGGATTCCATTTAATGTGTTTTAGCTAACTTGCAAAACAGCTGGTCTTTAAATAATGACCTGAATAGAAACTGCACAAATTAAAGGAGCTTGAAGCATGTGCCAGCACAGGGTTGTATGTGTGTTTGTGCCCCAATATTTTTCTGCGTTTTAATGTGGATTTGTGAAGTTGTGAAACTTGCAATGCTGATTTGAGTGTTTATAGTAGAGCAGGCCAAATAGTGCACAGTTCAAGATTGTGCACATCTGTAATGATTATGTGAATATTGAGCCGTGATAGACTATTCACTTTGAAGCATGGCAAGTATCGTTTATATTTCTAGAACCAAATGTGCCTTCAGAGAAAAAACCCAAGTGATAAATTCCTTCATTTTAAACAAAGAAGGAATTTTCTCTAATGAGAACAAGACAGTAGTTCTGAAATGCTTATGTTTCCCACGTTGGAAGGGAATTCATATTGACCATGGGAGTCTTTCATTCCGTTTGGAGTTYGCATGCAATCAAAAATGCAGTGTGAGAATGCTGTTTTGAGCATTTGCTTTGGCTCAGCATATGCAGTGTTATAAGGGTTATGGCCTGGTCTGTTTTCTCTTTCTAAGAAAAATCTGTAAGGTAGTGAAATGTCTGTGACTTGTCCCATCACCTGGTGGTAAGCCAGGGCACATGTGCCATGAGCATGGGGGACTTAGAACAGCCTCTGGGAGTGCTTGGRTCTTGTCTTTGGTCCCTCTTTGGTGGTGCCATTTGGCATAAAGCAGTGAACTCATGGCCTGGAAGGTGCARATTCAGGTGAAGCACTGGGAGTGCTGTTTTCCCAAGGCAGGATGCTGATACCTGCTGATGATTTGGGGTAAATGAAGCTAAGTAAACCTCTCCAGGCTGTGTGATCCCCTCTTTGAGAGATGAACACTGTAAGCATGCTGAGTTTAGCAGTTCTGTAGGGGGCAGTGAAACAGATTTAAGGGAATCAGGTGATTGGTATATGAATATRTAAATAAGATGAAAAGAACGAGTTGGGCCATTTTGCACCTGATGAAATGGGTCGAAATCAACAACAATCTTTGGTTCCAGCTTTTGATCAGGTCCTGTAAACATTCTGGGCTCTCTGTGTTGCTGTGAGCCCTCTGTGGAGCTGCAGGGCTGGCTCCTGGAGGGCACATTTGACCTTGGAGGGCACATTACCTGTGGCTGTTGCTGTGCCAGCGCTGCTGCTGCCGGGGGCTCCTGTAGTTGAACACGAGCGCTTTGATACAGGCAGAGCTTGGGGGGATGTTCGCTTCTCTTGTACATCAGTGGACAGTGTGACAAGCCAAAAAGATGTGCCACTGGAGTAGAAAATTAATTTCTAGCGTGGTGTCTGAGGCTGGCTAAGTAAGGCAGAGCTGGCCAGGTAATTTATGTCATGACTAAGGGGGTCCCCATCAGAATTGAGGGCTCCCGTTTCAGTGACAACTCTTTGTGGTGATAGTGAGCAAATCAATAGTAGACTCCTCATCACTATAACTGTGTTCTGTGTTTTCTTCAGAATTAGCCAATTCTTTTAACTGCAATTTGAGAGAATAAACAAGGATGGAGAGTTCATTTTGCCTCTGTGCTGATGAGAATTTCTTGGCTGGCTGGGCTGTGTSTTGAAGGGCTGGGGAACGCAGAAGTGGGGAGCAGGGTTTCTGCAGTCTTTGTTTGGGCTGTTCAGACCAGAATCACGGATGCTTCATGTCTGTCCGAGTGCAGTTAAAATGAATTTGTTTTTATTCRAAAGGGTGAATACAATCAGRCTGCTCTGGAACACCCCAAGTTAGMCTTCAGCCATGTAGAGCCAGCAGGCATKTGCTGAGAAAGAGGTTGATATTGGCTGGTTCTCTTGTTCTATTGTGACACCTCACAACACCATGTCCTGCTCTGATCAGGAAATGCAGACCCATCCCTTGTGCAGGACAAGCCCAGGCTTTGGTGCTGGCAGGGAGGGAAGGCACTGGGGCAGTTCTGGCTCCACTCAGAGAGGTGAACATGAGGGAAACCACCATCCCTTCCTTCCCACAGACTCAGTGGATCTGACAGAAAGTGAAGTGCTGTGCCAGCAGGCATGTGGTGGAGCCATGAAATTTGTAATTTTTTTAAAATTCTTCAGTGAATTTCAGATTTTGCCAGGTGAGGGCCTGCATTTCTCCACTATTCTTGTCTCTGCTCTTAGAAATAYTGGYRMTTTCTTTGCTARAACAATATTASTGGCTTAACCCACGCTTCTGTCCA